GTATTTTAAAGTTCTATTTTTTTTTTATTTTTTGTCTTCAAAGTTAATAATGCTCTTCCTCGATTGTATTTCCAAATTTTAGTCAAAGACGATAATACCGATATCAATGCTGGCTTGAAACGCCGTACTTTTCTTGTTTCATTTTGCTGTCTGAAAGCAGAACGTAACATTTAACATCAATTATGCAATAATTGCTACAATTTTTATACTGATACCAATGGAAGACGATATATATATCCGTTACAATCTGCTTTTCAGCTTAAACAATACTACTCTGCCAAATTTTTGTACAATACAGCATGCCCTATATTCTACTGTTTTTTGCGTCAACAGTTCTCATTTCAGCAGAGGAGGTTAGTTTATACAACTATTAATCTTTTAATTGGCTGTGGTATAAAAAATGCCTATAACGCCAACTAAGAATTGTAGTCTAAGACAGAAATACATTTCTTAACGCAGCATCTTTATTGTCTTATAGATTTTTCATTTTAATTAGCTGTAGGCAGAAAACTCATTAATACCTAGTTTAGAAAATGTATCTATTTGACATACTAATTTCTCAAAAAGTTAAAGTTGTGAAAGTTCAAAAATAGATGAATGTTACCCACTTCATTTTGACTGAGGAAAAGACGTCAACATGATTTAGCCTGTACAACATAAAGGTAAAGTAAAATGGAGTTTTCGTGATTCATTTCAAGAAATTTTTTGATGGTTTATATCTGTTGATCAGTTTCTCGCTCTGAATGGTGTCTGGGCTATTCTGGTTAGAACGTAACTGTTTTACTAATTCTGAGCGAATATACAATTATCTACTATCCTTAAGATTTCAACGTTTGAGAACGATTGCGCAGGTGGCTGCAAATAGTCTTCCGAGCATTTAAGATATAAATGTGTAGATTTTTTTCTTCTCCGACCTGTATATTATTGATGGCTTTGTTGTAGGCTAAGTGTAGTTTTTCTTCAATTGATTTCGAACAATTAATCTTCAAACTTCAGGCTACATCAGCACAGGAAGGTCAACAAAATGTGTATTGCGTTGACTAACAGTCCTTATTTTTAGGTGTGCGATGATTCACCTGGTTGTGCGAAGGAAAAAAATTATTTTTTGGGTCGGTACTCGAGAGCTGCGGTATCGTCGCAGAGTGTTTACTGTTCCGAAATTGGCAGGTAATTGGGGGTGAAAGTTTTTGAATCTTTTACGTTGTCTTCTGTACTGCATTGCTATAGAGAGAAATGCAAGGACAAATTTTTAAGGAATACAATGTTAAAAGGTGGGAATGCTGTTGATGCTGCAATTGCTACAATGTTCTGTATTGGAGTTCTTGACGTCCTACATTCCGGACTTGGTGGTGGCCATTTCATGACTATATACAATGCGTAAGATACTATTTTGAAAATTAGAGAATTTAGTTAAACATAACTAAGTAAGTCAGTGAAAAACTGTTATTGCTAAACAGCTACAAAAAAGTAGTGGTGCTTCTGAGATTAAATTAGTGTCATTTGATTCAAACTGGCTGACATTTGCAAATATTAATGGTTGACTCAACATTAAATGGACTTGGGTCTTTTGTCAGCGTATGTTAATTACACTAATAAATATTCTTCTCTAGAACGACGCTTGTCGGTATATATCGGTCTAAACAGGCTGATAAATCGACAGTGCAGATTAATTAATAAGGTAATTTCACTATTGAGAAGCAGAATTACCAAACTCTGTTATGGTAAATGCAAAATCTAAATAAATCATTGAGAGCTAGTTGTTTTTTAGAGAAGCACTGGAGAAGAATTTGTTTCTTTGAATCCAATTCTGTAGCATTCTTTACTGCATTGTTTCACGAGAAAAAAATCACTCATGATTTCTTTATGCCTTTGTAATTTAGAGATCGCGAAAAACTGTTTCGTTTTTTTATTACAAATTACAAGAAACAATATTCTCTCCTGCAAAAAAAAAGTAGCATTTTTTCAAAGCTTTCGCATAAATATAAAAAATCTTTTCTTATATTAATGTTACAACTTGACGCGGGTGAAAGATTTAGTACTTTGGTACCTTTCTTAATTTTTCATTGCAGAAATCATTAATAAAGTAAATGTAATCTAGAAAGTTTTAGAACAACGCAGAGATGTTCGGTTATCAATGCCAGAGAAATGGCTCCAAAAGCAGCAAACGAAACCATGTTTGTAGGTTCGCCAGATCGGTCCTCTCTAGGTATATTAAACTTTAATTTTAGCAACGGTAATTTTGATTCATAACAGGCGTAAAAACACTTGCGAATTTTATGTAAAAAACTTTTTTCCTCTTTAGCCATTGACCTAATTTAGGTATGCAATACTTACTAATCTTTATGAGCCATTTTAACATTACGGTTTTTTTTGCTTCATATTGGAACTTTTAGGATGGTTGGCAATTGCTGTTCCTGGTGAATTACACGGTTTTTGGACAGCATACAAACGGTTCGGTGGAAAAATACCGTGGAAACAGCTTGTTCAGCCAACCATTGATCTTTTAGAAATGGGTAACTGTTTTTTGATGGATAAGATTTTGACTCTTATATTATTGCTGTAAAAATAAGATTGTTTTCAAACACTCATCTACTGAGGTAGAACAGTACAAAAAAAAAAACTTTTTTTCTTAACCTTTGAAATCTATTAAATATTAGAGGCAACTTTTTTGAGCCAAAAGTTTTGGAAACTATAATTGTCTTAGTATGTTTTTAACCTCATTCACCATACAACTTAAATTCACTCCACTTTCGGTTAGTTTCTTCTACTGTCTATAGTAAGTCAGCGTTAATTAAACGAATTCACAATTGTAAAACAATATTGCAAACTTCGTGTAACGGATTGAATGTCTAAACGATTCCACATGAATTTACATACGGAGGAAATATCGTAGTTCTTGTATAATAGTATTAAGAGGAAAATTACAACTGAATGATGTTCCAAATAATTTTGAAACAATGCTTTTCTCGTTACTCATCTTTTTTAAGCTTCTACTTTTGTCTTCTTGATTCTGAGTCACGTTACCGGAGAAGAAGTCCCTGATTTTGTTAGTCCTCACTAAGGAGAAAGAAGAGAAGCATCATTCAAACTTTAGGGAAGTACTGAAAGAAAACAATCTTAACTTCACTGATCTGCAGGTCACCCAACGTCATACATTATGGCGCGTGCCCTTGACTCTGAAGAGGATCACATCATGAAAGAGCCGAGTTTAAAACAATTTATAAACCCTAAAACAGGAAGGGTATATAAGGAAGGCGAACAAATTACTACGAGGTATCAACATATAATTTCATAATGGTACTGTTAGTCAAATCAAAATTTATGTCTTTCTGATAACTTATCTTTTCTAAGTAACCTAAAGTTGTCAGATTAGATAGTAAGTCGACTTATCACCGCTAAAAGCTCCGGGTTTTTGCAGCAGTTTGTTGAGCAGTACGTACTAAACAAAATATGATTCACGCCAAAACGTGAGACTCATACTAGTGAAATGTTTATTTTAGAAAAGCGTTTACAAGGACTCTTAAAGCTATTGCTAACACAAAAGACCCGGTCAAGTTATTCTACAACGGAACACTAACTCTCAGATTTGTCCAAGAATTTAAAAAAAATGGTTTGTCTTCAACTGCTGCAATAGTCTTTGATAATAAATAAAAAATGTTTAGGCGGTATATTAGAACTATCAGATTTTAACTCCTATCGTTCTAAAGTACATGAAGGTGACGAGGTAATATATTCTAAATTAAGCAACGGACGGTATGTCTGCGGCCCACCACCTCCATCTAGCTCAGCAGTCACTCAGTCAATCATTAACGTTCTCGATGAGTAAGTCACAATAGTGTTTTAGTTTTATAAGAACTGGTTTCAAGAATAGAATTCCTTTTTCGGACAAAAAGAATTGACCATTTTCAATTCAACGCTTTTTCAAAAACCGTTTAATAGCATAACCCCGCCTATATTAACGCAAGTAAACATGAAGATGGGAGGTTTTCAAAAACTTCAAAAATGCCATAGCTCTTCGACCGTTCAGTGAGTCAACAAAGACATGTCATCAGTTCAGCAATGGTCTTCTTTCTCACCTTACATCACAATCGGGGTTTTCTGATAAACACGTTGGTAAATAATCTGGAATTTCAGTTACGCTGTAAGGAATGCTGGTAATTTTACAACAGCTTCATTCTTGCATTACTTTGTCGAAGCTTCCAAGTTTGGTTATGCAGTTAGAAGTAAGCTGAGTGATCCACAGTTCAACCCAGAATCGATGAAGCTGGCAAAGGAAATCACTTCTGAAGCATATGTTAACAAACTCAGGTAAAAATGAAAGTTTTCTCAAATAGTTGCATAATGCAGTAAAAATACGGAAATATTTTAACACACTTCTTTATTTATTAACTTGCTTTCTCGATCAACGATTTAGATCCTTGATAACAGAAAAAACGCATGATATTCCATACTACGGAATTGACTCCACAGGATTTGATGACCATGGCACAACACACGCATCAGTTGTTGACTACGATGGCAACGCGGTTTCAGTCACTTCAACCGTAAATTTGCTGTAAGTAACTTCTTCCAAATCTTCATAAAACAGTTAATAATTAGTTAATAATCTAAGACAATTAAATTTTCTGATGCTAGAATAACGCTCGTATTTTTCAGTTTTGGGGCTGGGGTGGGGTCAGAATCAACTGGCGTTATATGGAACGATAACATGGATGACTTTAGCTCACCAGGATCCTCGAATTACTTCGGCTTCAAGCCGTCAGAGTGCAATTTTATAAAGCCAGGCAAAAGGCCAATGAGCAGTATGAGCCCTATAATTATTTACAGTACTAGTCACCCTACGGTAAGAAATTGAAGTTTTTGTGGCAGCTCCTTGCAGTGTTGCTATTAAATGACTGAAATATTGCAGGAAGTACTCTCGATTGGAGCTTCAGGAGGTTCTCGGATAATTAGTGGCGTTTCGTATGTTGCGCTGCGTAGTCTTCATTTTAATGAAGATCTACAAGATTCAACTTTTGCTCCCCGCGTACATAACCAATTACATCCAAGCAAGACATTTCACGAACGCGGTGTTCCTGAAGTAAGTGCTTCTTTTTTATATTTAATCAGAGTCTGAGGGACTTCACTGCTAAAAACACATAGCGGGATTATTTGGGCTGCCGCTTTTTTACCACATTCCATAAGAAAAGGATTTTAGGACCAACTTGAAGAACTCCAGAAACGCGGTCACACACTAATAGAATGGAACACCACCGACTACCATCCTAAGACATCAATATCTGCAGTTAAACGGGTTTCTCGCGGTACTCTTTTTGCTTCAGCAGAATATCGATGCGGATCTCAAAGCGCTCCAGCTGGGTTCTAATAGATTTAGCCTTTTGTTGGGCAACAGCATCGAGTAAGAAGCTGTTTTTTGACAACCTACTGACTTTGCAGAGAGCGTCAAGCATGATTTATAATATTAGGTAGTGTAAACTGCTTACCGCCGACCAGCTTTTGTACACATCATTTTGTCTAAGAAGGAATGCTCTTTATTTGTGCTTTGCTAATGGACGTTTAGTCTATTCAAAGGAAGATAGACAGCTCACAATCGCATATTTTAAGAGAAAGAATTGAAAGCGAAGTTCCTTTTGAAAGCTTGTTGTCCGATTTGTAGGGGTTTCATATCAAAAGTCGAATTGTGAGCAGAAATTAAAGCTCATTTTTCAAGAATGAATAACTTCTTGGCTTGATGATTTTAACCTTTTTAAACCTAGTGACAAACTGCTTTTGATCTCTCAACTTTATGTAGAATATCAAGGTCAAAAACTTGTATTTTTATCGAGGTTTCAATGAAGCATTATGTATAACTCTTCAACGACTACTAACTGCTGACGATGCAAATACTATAAATGAGTAAAACAAACATACTCGTTTTAACCATTTAAATATTACAGTCGTATATCGGAAACCTTCAAAATACATTTATCGAGAAGAGGGGAGGGTAGATTTTAATCTGCCTTCATAACAACAGGAAGACTAATGGAAAACAGGGACGACGTACAAATAACGCGGCACAATTTATAGCAACTTATCGTTAGGAACAGGAGCGAGATATTTAAGAACAGTAACGGGTCTCATAGCGGTTTGCTGTGTGGCTAAGCTTAGGAAGTGCACTGAAACGAACGGTTTGAACAGCCAACCTTTTAAAAATAATCCTAAATTTTTGAGGGACTTTCTGCAACTGCGATACTCAATAGTTACAATACGTCTCCAAAAGACAACGCAAGGTGGCGGGCGAACAAAATATTTAAATCTAATTAACGAAACTTATGGAACGAAACATTTGTTGCTTAACGTAGGTCTGGCTATACCATAAGTTTTTAGATATTTAGCAGAGCGGAACCGAAAATAGTGTTTTGGGGTTTGCTCAGTCTTATCAAACAAAAAACTCAACAGCAAAAAAGTGATTTATAGGAGGGTTCGAAATTAAAAAATAATGAGTTAAGGAGGAGACGCT